TTTATTCAATGCATGAAACGGTCTAAACATGAAAAATATCATGGGATAATTGACTAACGTTATCGAAACTGAATTTTAATAAGTCCAATCAACTTCATTGACAGTTTCATGGTTGAGTTCTTTAATTAACAAAAAAATATCTGTTGACATTCCTGCCCTACTGCTAACATAAATTCAATGGTCCAACTTTCAACTGTCAACCAAATGCTAGCAAGTGTATAAATTCACAGCTATGAATTCTTTAGTTTTATCAATGGAAAATGAATAAAAGTTTCCCAGTTTTTGGATTTACATGCATGAACTTTGATCAAGTAATATATAACTGGTATAGTCTTTCTATACCAACTACCTCCACAAAGAAAACTTTTATTCAATGCATGAAACTTGAAACGGTCTAAACATGAAAAATATCTTGGGATAATTGACTAACGTTATCGAAACTGAATTTTTAACAAGTCCAATCAACTTCATTGACAGTTTCATGGTTGAGTTCTTTAATTAATAAAAAAAAATCTGTTGACATTCCTGGCCTATTGCTAACATAAATTCAATGTCCAACTTTCAACTGTCAACCAAATGCTAGCAAGTGTATAAATTCACAGCTATGAATTCTTTAGTTTTATCAATGGAAAATGAATAATTTATTTTTGTAATTTGAAATGGCATAAGATTTTGACTTTTTTTCCATATTTGTATATGAACAGATTGATTTGATGGAACTCGAATGCTGGGATCTTCTAGCAGCTGGTTTTGCTGACCATATATAAAAAGCCAACTGTTTTTCTTGTCAGACAAGGAAGAAAAAATGCCATCTTTTAACACAAATTCTAATTTGACCATAAAATAATGGGATTTAATTCTCATCTCTCCAAGCAATCTCTTTTTTTAAGAGAAAACACATACGAGACTATAGTGAAACCTAAGAAGATTTCAATCTTTAGATTTCATCTTTTGAAAATAGGGTTATAAAATTAGTTATTTTATAAATAGTATATTTATTTGTGTTATATTCAAAGTTCTGTCGATATTAAAAAAGAACAGGAAAGAAAAGGTCAAAAAAGGATCAATAGATTGAGAATGAAAACAATACTTCTATTATTTTTTTGAGCTAATTGCACAATGCATCCTTAAATTGTTACTGCAAGTTTAAATTGATCTTTAAATTTTTGAATATTTTAATTTCATTCTCAAACTATAACTCTCATTCTAAATTGATCCTAAACTTTTTAACATTACAGGTTCATCCCTAAAATATGCCTCTCTTTCTAAATTGGTCCCAAACTTTTGTACATTCCAATAACATCCCCAAAATCATTCAAAAGTACGGGGATGAAATTGTGACATTCAAAAGTTAGGGGATCGATATAGAATGAGGATCATAATTTAGGGATGAAGTTGGAATATAGGAATCAATTTAGAATAAAAGTTATAGTTCGGAGACTAAATTAAGATATTCAGAAGTTTAAAGACTAAATTTATCAAAGTGTTACAAAATGATCATTACAATATTATAACAAGTGTAAAAGTTTAAATAAATTTAATGATCATTTTTAACAGTTCGATAAAATTTGGTGATTATTTTATAATAGTTTGATAAAATTCAATGATCGTTTTATAACAGTTCGATAAATTTACAATCATTATGTTACTTCTAAAGTTCAATTACCAAAACAATTATGTAATCATATTTCAGTCACATCTAATATATTATAATCTTTTTACTCCTCTAATGTAATTCATTGGCAAAATAAACACTAATTTGACAACAAATTAACCAACACAGTCAAGAGAATGTTTTAATATTTTAATGAAAGAAGAATTAAGTAGGTACCTTGCTAGGGCGTAAGGATCCCAAGTAGAAGGAACATCATTGAGAACTTCATCAGATAGGAGGAGAGGAGAACGATGAATATAAAGATTGAACAAAGTGATATAATATCCATCAAGTCCCAAGCATTTGGTATTCGCCGCATCTTTCGCCCATGAGACGCTTTGAAAACCAAACATCGAATTGAATCTCCCCGATGGGATTTTCCCAGTGATGTTACATTTCTGGTTGAAAATCTCCACCATCTAAATACAAACACACGATCGTATATAAATTTCATTGAATTGTTAACATAAATTTAAAAAAAAGTAGAAACGGGATATTATTAATTACCAGATTGAAACCGAGAATATCGGATTGATATCGAGTACGATCGCCTTTATCGCATTTGATGTCGATCGGAACGTCTTTGATTGAATCGAATCCGGGTATGGTCATCTCTCGTTTCTTGGTTTCATCGAGTAAAATCAACCGTTCCTTGCCCTTACAGTACTTGAGTCGAAAATCCATTGTTAAATCGAATCCTTTCCCCAAGCTGCTAAGAGCCTTCTCCACTATTCCATGGCTGCTCATCTTGCTTCCTTCCCCTCCTTGTTTTCTTTCCTGAGAAAATGAAAGGAAAAATGGTTGGGTTATTTAAAAGGAATGCTTAGTAATACTGGGTGCGTATTTTTGGGTGAGAAACCTTTGAAAATCGTATGATTCTAATTGATGACTTAAGGAAGTTTCGTCTTCTTCCTACGTTTCAAATTCTGGTTTTTGAACTCAGCTTTGACCGTATTTTATTATTATTTATTATTATTCTTTTACTTTTCCTTTTTTAATCCGTTTTTGGATTTTCTTCCTTAAATAATATCGATGCTTATAACACAAATCTAAAGGATTTGTTATTTTTAACCAATAATTAGTGTTAATTTTATTAAAAAAATAAAATAGATCAAACTATTTACTTTTAAAAGTATCAGAGAGCACAAATTGATAAATAATTAAAATAATATAATATATAGGAGTTAAAAAAATACACCAATTCATAAAAAATAATAGATACAAGCAAATATTACCATCTACGATAATTGCAAAAAAAAAAACATCATCGATAGAGCGAACCAATCAAAGGGTTTAAACTAGGATAACTTAATAACATGAACGGAGCGAGTTAAATATTGATATGGATCGAAATATTATATTATTTAAGAAAAATATAAAGACTTAATAGGTATTTAAACTCGAAATTCAGCATGAATCAAGTAACCTTTGTGATTAAGGGATTGTTGTTATCCTTGAGATCCCGAGTTCAAGCACGTATGTAGGGGTATGAGTATTCATTGTCAAATAGTTGGAAGTTTATGTACTATATTACCTTGTATTCATCCTAAATTAAAAAAAAATCAAAACTCAAAAGACAACTTCTAATTTGTCTAATATTTAAACTTACAATGACTTAAATTATAATTAAACCAAAAATTTGAGAACAAAGACTTATCATTATTTAGTTTGACTCATACTTAATTAAATATTTAATAATTTTTTATATTTTTAAATTTAAATATTTATTTTTACATGAAGTAAAATACTATTAAACTAAAATTATATCGAATATATAAATTTTAACAACGATCGAAACTCCCTTAGACCCTAAGTAAGCTTCGTCCCTGCTTAATAAGATGAATATAAATGAAGTATTTATTTATTTTACTCATATCGAAAGTATTTCACATGTGTTTATATATAAATAAAGCATTTAACATGTGAAATTTTTAATATACCTACCGTATAAATATTTTAAAATCTCGTGATTAATTTTTAAAATATATATTAAATGCTAAATTATGGATTTAAATTTTGTTTATTTAATAAAACTATTAGAATGAATAAAAAAAGTTATATTAGAATTGAAATGCGGACGTCGTGTATGAAATATGAATTATATAAATTCATAGTATCTTACCAATCTTTGAATATAAAAAGATTTAAATGCACCGTTACCCTGAACTATATTATTTGTACCGAATTACCCTTAAATTATTTATTTAGATAAATAAAATAAAAATATGAGCTGGCCTGGAGTATTTTTATTGGCCACTGAATTTTATTTTAAACATAGTTAACGAGGTAAACAATTTAAAGTTAAAGGTGTAAAATATCATATTTAAGGGTGCGTTTGATTCACGGAATGTAAGATTACCAGTGAGAATAAAAGATTACAAGGGAATATGATTACTGGGAATGTTGTATTTTGTGTTTGGTTGATTTAGCATGAATGTAAGATTACCGTATTTGGTTAAAGGAATAAAAGATTATTGGAATGTATATTTGACCAAATTGTCCTTATTATATATTTGTATAATATTACAAATTGTCAAATATTTATATATTTTCTTTAAAAAATTAAATTCATAATATTTATATAATTTTTTTTACAAAATTAAAAATATAAAAAATGTTTAATGAAAGGGTAAAAAAAATTTAATCCTTAAACTTCATATAAAATTTTAATTATAAATTTTTTTTTTGTAAATTTAAAATAATTTAATGATAAATTTATAATTTAACCTTCGTAGAATCTTTATTATTCAAAGACAGAAGAATGATATTTTTGAAAAAAATAAAAATTTAAGGGCATTTTAATCCAAAACGCCGATAATATTACAATACCTAAAGGAAGGGAGATAATGACATTCCCGATAATATACCTCAAAAAATCTACTATTAGTAATAAAACATTACCGGAAATAAAATTCCCGACCAACCAAACATAGATCTTTGAACCAAACGCCCCCTAAGGATGTAAGGGACAACTCGGTACTTGTACTAACTTGGTACAAATAATATAATTAAAAGGCAATGGTGCATTAAAACCATATGAAAACTATATTTATTAGATTTAAAAATAAAAACTTTAAAAATACATGCTTTATATATATATATTATAAATTTATTTTTTTATTAAAATTAATAAATCTTTGATTGGAAATTAATATAATCTTTTAAAATAGGTAGTGATGTTCACATTGAAACTGTTTGATTATAACTTTTCAGACACGTTCTGAACGGGTGAATTTGAACAACTAAGTTGCCGACGTCCTCGAGGAAAAGCCATGCAGGGGAAGAACAATCAATGGCGGCTCCACATGTAAGAATTCCAACAGGGGGAAAAAACACGTTTAGGCTACGCAGTAAATATTGTCAAACTGATGGGAAATCGATTTCAACTACAGAACTACGATAAAGTTGGGGAACAACGGCAAAAATAGCGGTAACAGCTTATCGAAGCTTTATCTGGAATCAACAATGGTGTTCGATCGATCTCCGAAACACGAAGACAAGCACAATACGATGAAGGGAACCTTCATTTGCCTAGGCTATGTCAACGGGGAAAGCAGCATTTGATCGGAGACGGAAGCTAGACCTTGCATCAACCTAGCAATTTCAACTGTGTCGTCGAGGTAGTACTTGGCCTTGCTGGGTTTTTTACTGACGGTACATGCGAAAACTTCGGCTCTGGGATTGATCGTCGGGCATGCTATCGAACTGGTTATTACCTCGAACATGTCTTCATCAGATCGGTCATCTCCAATACACAGAACGAAATCTGGTACCATTCCCTTCTCTTGCATGGTGGAAAGTAGGCGCTTCGCAACCAAACCCTTGCTTACACCCTGCAAATAGAGATTGCAAAAAATACAAAATCCGATATCATCGACACGGGATTTCGAATAAGAAAATCGGCTTACATGTCTCGATCTAGGCTAAGAATATAGAACAGTATTTTATAAGTTCGTTGGGGAGAACCTGCGGTTTAACCTCCACAACATTCTGTCCGCTCTTTACCGTCACAGGTTCATTGGCCAGCACGCTTTCGAGATGATTGAGAAGTTCTTTAGCTTGGCATGATCCGAAATCTGGATCTGCGTCCTCGTAACACCAGACAAGGGTGGTCTCCCGATCTTCGATGTTGGACCCGTCTGTAGTCTCCGTGTATTGCTGCATCACAGGTTCTGCAATCTGCTTCCAAGTAGAGTCTATGGCCGGCACACATGTTTCCCACTCATCATCTCGCTTAAGCCTGAAACAATGAACTTTTAACTCTCGAATCGAAACCACAAACTTACTGCAATGATAAAAGGAGAAATAAGGATGGACGGCAGTCCAATTAACCTCAAAAAGTAACCGTGCTCGGCGGCAATTCCTAGGTTCTCACACGAAGAAAACCATTCGGTGAGCGTCTTCCGGCTTTTGGCACTGACTATAAAAACCATGTTTGTATCTCTGCACAAGCTATTTAAGATGTCAATGGATTTAGATGATGGACTCTTGTCGATGGAAGCCTGTGGCATTAATGTGCCATCGTAATCGAGAATAATGGCCCGAGTAGTCGTTCTCTTGTAAGCCGATACAATGTGCTCCATGGAGAGCTTTCTGAAGTTAGGATCAAGTGCCACAACTCTAAAACTTAGCCCGAAACCGATACCCCAGCATCCCAGTCTCGAGTGCTCTCGACACGTCCACTCCAAATCTTGAATGAAACTACGAGCCCAGTATCCAACATGATGTGTGCTAACATATCTGTAATGCTTTTCATGCCTCCCCTGTTTTTCGGCCTCTGCCATAGCAAGGGCAGTGTCCATTGCATCCGCCACGGAACCGATGTTCCACGGATTTACTCGAATCGCTCCACTCAGTGACGGGGAGCAGCCAATGAACTCAGACACAACTAACATGCTTTTCTTCGGTGCAGAAGGATCCAACCCTAGAACCATATTCAACCTTTCGTTCCCCTGCCGACTGATTATATATTCATACGGTATGAGATTCATTCCATCCCTAACAGCCGTTACCAAACAACACTCAGCGACCGTATAATAGGCAATCCTCTCGTAGAACTTAAGCGGTTCATCAATCAATACGACTGGATCATAACCAGGCTTCCCGAAAGTTTTGTTAATTCTCTTCACAGTCGAATATGTCTCCTCTTGCACTTCTTTCACGTCTTTTCCTCGGCCTCTCGCCGGAAGAGCTATTTGAACCAACACCAACTTCCCCTGGCACTCGGGATGCTGCGAAAGAAACTGTTCCATTGCTAGCAGCTTCAGACTAATACCCTTGAATATGTCCATATCGTCCACCCCAAGAAACATTATCCTTCCCTGATCACAATACTGCATATGAAGCTCTGCAACCTTTGCTTGGGTCTCGGGGAGGCTCAAAACCGATCGCAACTGACCCATGTGTATCCCTACAGGGAGAATTTTGATAGTAACAGTTCTTCCATAATACTCCAGGCCTATATACCCTCTCTTGGATTCATAGCTAAGACCAAGCATTCGACTACAACACGACAAAAAATGCCTCGCGTAATCGAATGTATGAAAGCCGATTAAATCCGAGTTTAAAAAGGCACGTAAAAGTTCCTCCCGGATCGGCAATGTCTTATATATCTCGGACGAAGGGAAGGGGCTGTGAAGAAAGAACCCCAGTTTAACCCTATTGAATCTCTTCCTCAAGAAAGTTGGTAACAACATGAGGTGATAATCATGAACCCACACAAAATCATCCTCCGGATTAATCACCTCCATAATCCGATCGGCGAAAATCTTATTGACCGACACATAAGCTTGCCACAAAGACCGGTTAAACCGGCCGCCGAGATCCGGAGACAAAGGCAACATATAATGAAACAAAGGCCATAGTTGCTGCTTACAGAATCCATGATAATACCGACTATAAAGATCAGCCGGCAAAAACGTCGGCACGCACTTAAAGGTCTCGAAAAGAATCTGTGAGACTTGGTCTTGTTCGTTCGGGTGAATTTCTTCCTTTAAACAACCAACATAAATAACCTCAACATCGTCATCTCCTAATCCATCTTTCATTTGGAGGAGAAGAGAATTCTCATCCCAACTGAAAATCCAACCCTTGCTACCCCTACTATTGCTAAGGGCACAGTTCGTATCCGATTTTCGGTGTGCCCTTATAGGCAGCTGATTAGCTACCATGATAATTCGATCTTTCGAGACGGAAGACGTCGGTTCATCGGAGCATACACTCTCCGATGAATCGTCATCGGAGACGATCCCAGAAACAGTCATAACCCTGGGTATCCTCCGTCTTATTTGGCCTAAGGACGCCGGAGATGACTCACCGGAGGCAAGCTCCAAGAGATTCGTATATGATCTTGATGACATTTCTTGAAGCTAATCAAAACCGTTGCCTTTTTTATTGTGCAAACATACAAGTAAGAATCACGGAAAATCAAAGAAAATTCAACGAAGAAGACGATGATTGGTGAACTTCAGGTTGAAAATGCATGCACTTGGAATGGGGGGAAATAGTCAAAAGTTTTTATTCCAGACAAAGAACAAATAAGATGAAATGGAATAGATTCCAGCTTACACAGCTAAGGAACTTTACTTCACTCTTTCTCAAAAAAAAAAAAGAAACTTTACTTCACTCAAAAGGAAAATCCACTAGAAATAGTTAAACACACACCAGCTATCGAGAAATCTAGAGTTCAGAGAAAAACTGTAGAAAACTAAAATGAAAATCAAAGAACAGTACGTCTCTAAAAAGATCAAGAACAGTTGGAGAAATTACCTGCAGGTGTTTGTAGATTAAAATCTTAATTAGCTGAAAGAGTAGAACATAAAAATGAAATAGAGAACTTAATTAGCTTTCTTAGAAGTTCGAGCATGGAGTTGGACTGTTAAAAAATATATACTTGGAATATAGTGAATTTTTTCTCGGGAAAATTTATTTTTGTTTTCGCTGTCTCTTTTTCTGGGTTAAATGATTTACGTAAACTCTGACACTTGGACGAGATTATGAATTGATCCAACGGTGTAGGGAAGAAGAAAATGTGTACAAGGATGTTCTTATCCTTTTGTCCTTTGGTTAATCGTTGTGATGGGACCCACAAACCTTAAGTCTTGTCCAAAAATAGCTGTGAACATGTCTCCGGTATCGCCACGTGGGTTATGGCAATTTGCTACTGGTAGTCAACATAAACACGTGGTGATTTTCTGTGCTCCGTTGACAACACGAGAAATAAATCTATTCGAGATTCGTGCTCTGAAATGAAGAGATAATCTAGCTTAAAATATCGTGTCCGATTATATTTAATATTATGGTAAATTTTATCGTTCTTCAACCAAAGTTTACTGTTTCTCTTATTTTATTCATTGTCCTTTTAATTTTTTTTAATTTACTCACTAAATTTTATAGATTGAATCGTTTTCTCACTCTATCATTAAATTTTTAATGGTGTTATGACATGGAACAATAATCAAAATGAATCTGTTTTGAAAAATCAAATTTACACTAAAAACATCATTTTGAATCCTCTTTTTTATAGTTGGTGAGCAAAAGAGGAGAGGGAGTAAAGTTCAGTGAGAATGGTGAAATAAATCTTTTATATTTTCAGTTATTTTATATTAAATAATAAAAAATGACATAAAAAATGAAACGTCGTCATAACATTAGAGAGTTAACGGCTAAATGAACAAAATGATTCAATCTGTAAAATATAATGTACAAATTAAAAAAATTAAAAGTATGATGAGTAAAATAAGAGAGAGAATAAAGTTCATTGAGTGTAATTTACCCTTAATATTATCATAAGCTTAAATTTACGCTTTATGGTTAAATAAATAATTAAAATTATTAAAGAGAGTTAAATGTAAGAGTATGTATACTATATTTCTAATATTAATCATCTTTAATAAAATAATAATAATATTAATCATCTATGATGATTTAAAAATCAATCGTCGAGCATTCTTATTTTTTTATTTATATTTTTTTCCTTTTCATCTCTTTCTCAATTGTTATTGTTATTTCTAAATAACAATATTAAAAAAAACAACTAAAAACCCTAAATGAATAATCTTCCTGTGATACGTAGCAGTATTGAAAAACCCATTCTCATATTTGGTTGGTCGGAAATGTCATTTCCGGTAATCTTACATTTCTAATAGTGGATTTTTGGGTATATTATCGGGAATGTCATTACATCCATTTCCTTAAGTGTTGTTGGATTACCGACGTTTTGGACTAAAATGCCCTTAAAATTATTTTTTTCAAAAATATTCTTATTCTGTCATTGAATAATAAAAATAATACGAAGGTTAAATTACAAATATATCCTTAAACTATTTTTGATTTACAAAATAATCTATAATTAAAATTTTATATAAAGTTCAGGGATTAAAATAAAATTATACCCTTTCATTAAATCTTTTTATATTTTAAATTTTGTAAAAAAAATTATATAAATTTTATGAATTTAATTTTTTAAAGAGAATATATAAATATTTTTCAACTTGTTAAAAAACAAATATATAATAAGGACAATTTAGTTAAATATACATTTTAATAATCTTTTATTCTTTTAATCACACACGGTAATCTTACATTCATGCTAAATTAATCAGACACAAAATACAATATTTCTAACAATTTTAAGTATTTATTATTTGAAGTGAAAAGTTCGGAAAATAACTTACGGAAAATCAGACTCTAAGTCATTTTTCAAAAAAAACAAAGGAAATTATGTTGACCTGGAAAATATTTTACGTTGATCAACCAGCTTTCCTCCAACCAAACACTGGAAAATGATGAAAATATTTTTCGAAAAACGTTTTACGTGAAACAAACGGACCCTAACTCTAATGCGATAATGTAAATTTCTTTTATAAAAAAAATAAAATTTAGATCGAGTTTTAGGGTGAAAAATATTTTTATAATCAAATATTTTTATAAGTTTAAAAATAATTGTTATAATATCATTCTTTCTATATTTTAAAATTATGTCCCTATTTTATAGAATAAAAATGATTTATTTTGTATTTATGCCGAGTCAAGTTAAATTTAGATATATAAAATATATTTTTAAGATCATATCAGGTTTAATGGAGAAGATATACTTCTTTAATACTGGAGCAGATATACAGGGACAGTCGCATGAATTTATGGCACTTGTTTAAGAAGTTATATTAAAAAAATTAGGATGTGGAGTTATAAAATTTTAAAGGATGCGAAATTAGATAATCAATAGAAAAATAAAGAAAAAAACTTAAAATATAAGTAAGTTTAAAATTTTTAAGGGGTGCGACCGTACCCTAGCACCCCTCGATCAGTCCCTGGATGTAATAGTGTTCAAACTTTGGTTAAAATTGTTTTAACCGACTGAACTGAAGTTTTTTTTAGTAAATCGATCCGTTGATTTAAAGTTTGGTCATTTAATAATGATTTTTTCAAACTTATGTTAATTTGGTTCAAAATCGATTGTAAAAATCTAATATATATATATATATATATAATTTTAATATTAGAGTGTTTAAGCTTTGATTTTAACCGAATTAATCAACCAAATTAACCAAACATATAAACTATTTAATGTATAATATATATTATTTATAATTTTTGATTAATTTAGTTAATCGAACCTAACTTTGTTCGGTTTGATTAAAGATTAAAGGAAAAAATAATTGGTTAATGAAATTTTAGAGGTTCGGTCAATTAACCGAACATACCGATTGAACACTCCTAGTTGAAGGTATATTTCTTGAGTCGGATTGAGATGGACAAAATTTTGACCAACCGACACATTGTCATCTCTCTACGTGTAAAGATACCTTAAATTAAATTAAATATAGAAAAAATAGATTTGAATGAGTTTTCTCATAATACATTTTTATGGTATCCAATTATAATTAATTAATCAATAAATTAGATATCGATAATAAAAACAAAAACTGCATTCAAAACATATAAAAACCAGCAACACTCTGCATGAGTTTTCAGTTTATATACCTAAGTCCCCCCCCCCCCCCATCTCGAAATTACGACCATCAGACCAATGGGAACGAGGGAAACCTCCATGGACTTATCAGAGGCCAAGTTCGTATTCAGTTCCAAAATGGCCTTTCGTGAATCCCTAGCACCCTCCGGTACCTCCTCTTCGTTTTTAGCCACGTAGCCGAGCCACAACGTGTTATCGTACGCGATTAATCCGCCGATTCTCACGAGTCGTTTCGCATGCTTGTGGTATTTCATGTAACTGGTTTTGTCGGCGTCGATGAAGATGAAGTCGAATTCTCCTTCATGCTTCTTCTACAACAAAAACATGGATTTGAAATCTATAACGAGAAGAGTAATGGAAGTTTTTAAAGTAACTAAGGCAAAACAGCTTTTAACGATATTTTTAGCGGTGTTTTTAGAGTAAACGTCATTAATATTGTACAAATAGTGGCGTTTTTAAAAATGTCGTAATAGATTGATATACGGTGGCGTTTTGGGATAATGTCGCTAAAGTTTGTTAGATAAACGCAGTAAATTATGAAGTACTTACATTGCTGGTCATTTCATTTAGAACTTTGATGGCTTCGGACTGGATTAAATTGATTTTGTGCCCCATGCCTGCTTTTTTTATGAATGGCAATCCTACTTCGTAATACTCTCGTGTCGTGTCTATTGCTGTTATCTGATATTTTTTTTCATTTATAGTCATTTTAATGATGTAATAATTTGATAGAATAAATTACACGTTTAGTACCTAAATTATTAGTTTCGGTTTGTTTTAGTATCAAATTTTTTTCTTTTTTTCAAAATCACATCTAATGTTTAGTTTTTATTTTATTTTAGTATGTTAAAAACTTAGTCACCTTTTTGGGTAAATTACATCATTTATCACTAAACTATCTTCTCCCTCCTATTTTGATCACTAAAGTTTAACTTTTTTAATTTAATTATTTAACCTTCAAATTACTCCTAATTTAACCACTCTAGCTTTAAAATATACTTTTTTATTTTTAATTATATATTAATAAAATAGTAATAATTAATGTCATGTCACAAAAATTATTAATAAAATAAATTAGAGTGATTAAAATAGGAGCAATTTGAAAGTTGAGTAGTTAAATGAATTTTTTATTAGTATCAAAATAGGAGTGAGAAGATTGTCGAGGGATGAATGATTTAATTTATTAATCTTAATTGTGAGGTACTAAAACGAAACAAAAATTAAAATTTATGTATGATTTTGGAAAAAATGAAAATTTAGAGATTAAAGCATACCGAGACTAATAATTCAGGTACTAAACGTACAAGATAATTCACCCAATTTGATAATGTGATAATCTACGTTAATGGAGTGTGAAATACGACACACCTGGCCATCTTCAGGAATGCAAGAGCAGTTGCAAGGAGAGAGTAGCCTGTGAAAACGCCAATCTCCATTGTTTTCTTGGCATTCATCAGCCTCAAAATCATAGTTAAGAACAGTCCTTCGTCTACAGGTACACACATTATGCTTCTGAAACCCCCAAAGCATTCATTTTCCTGAATTAATTGTTTGTTTGTTTCCCAAGAAATTTTATAAAGATAAAAGAACTTAAACCAATCTCATTATATACGCATACAAACTTACCGGTCAGGGAGCTTCTCCGCAGTCGCAATTCTTAATGCTTTGAGCTGCTCATGCTCCCTAGGGTGCGCAAATGTGTTGAAGATGTACTGGATGACATGAATTGCATGGATTAAATATCGTATTCGAATATGTTTGGGACACGAGCGTCTGAGAAATCGAACAAGAAGATGAGGTGCTAACCTGTTGCAGGGCTTCGCTTTTGAGAACTCCTTTAGGAGGAACGTTTGGGTTTGCCATCGAGAAGGAAGAGCTAGAGCTTCAGTTTTGTGGAATTTTTTTTCTTGTCGATCTTCCAATGTGTTTATTTCTTCTTTTAATAAATAATATACAGCTAGCTAGAAGCATAGTACGTAAATATCAACCAACTCCTTGTATCTAGCGGCTTCAATCAACCGTATTATTCGCTCTTTCCACTATCAATTTGAATAACTCAAACTCCATTTAGTTTAATCTAATTTATTAAGCGTGGTAATAATTGGGATGTTAACATTTGAAATTATCGTATAACAAATAAATTTATTAAATTATTTAAATATAAATATAATAAAAATTTAATAAAAATTTAATAAAAAACGAAATATATTTACTTGTTATCTTGATTTTGTTTATTTTAATTTTGTAGAATTTTTAATTTTCTTAATATTCAATTAAGTGAATTGTATCATATATTTCAAATTATAATTTTTACTTTAAATCTTTAAACTTTGAATGTCCCAATTTTATTCTCATTTTAATTTAATCTTTAAATTTTTAAAAAATTTAATCTTATACACAAACTACGACTCTCATTTAAATTAATTTTTAAACTTTTAAATATTTCACTCTCATATATTGGATCATTTGAAGAAAAATTAGATATTTGTTTCTCTTCAAACTTTAATATAATATAATTATAATTTATTTAACACTTCTAATATCATTGTTTAGTCCAAATAATTAGAATAAAAAATACCGAGTCAAAATGATGACTTTATCCCAATACACCACTTTCAACACAAATTTATGAAAAATTTAATGAGTTAGATGGGATACTTTCAAGAAGAATCCATGTCAACAGAACAGGTTAAAAGATGTCATAGTGATTGGTAATTTACAAACCAAATAGCTACTCAAGTGCAGTGTCGATGATGGTTCAAATAGCGGCATTTTTCCTAGCTGAACACACAAAACTACAAAAGTTCCATAACCGAGAGCTCCGAATATGGAAAAATTTACTTGGGATTTCTTAAAACAATAATAACAGAATCTCCCCTAAGGAACATCTTGCTGATGAATCTGTCCTTGTTAACCGGAAGAGCCTTCTTCTTGCCTTTCCCGGTCTTCGGTACCTATATCGAATGGAGAATGGAGAAACGATTCAACCTTTTTAAATTTGACTGTAATGGAGATTACTGTATATGACCAAGGCATACAAAAGCAGGGAAAGAGAAACTACCTCGGTCCACATTTCCCTGACATTTTCCAAAACCATGTTGCAGTGGCGGTCGAATGCTCTCACCCGGCCTAGAAGTTTTTTGTTGTTGCGACAGTTGATGAGAACCTGGTTCCATGTATAAATCGAATTCAGTTCTAAATAAGCACGTTGTCATTACCATGTAGATAAGCATTGCTAGGGGTTCAGAAGATTAGTTCATTACCTGAGTGTTATTTTTGACACTCATCATCAGAACGGATAGTGGTCCGGTGTTAAATTCCTCTTCCTCATTCTTCACAGTCTGCAGGAAGGTTAGTGAGAAATAGGCGGATATTAGTGAACGAACATATATAAAAAATACAATGAAAAGAAGCATTCTTCTGGTTTGAATGAAGAGGCGATAGGCGTTTAAGTCAACTTACATCTTCTTCCATTGGCCGACTGCAAAAGCAAAGCAAACAAAAGAGAGAATTAGTATATGATAAATGAAATGCAACAAGAAAACCTTCTGATATTACTAAATGAACAAAGCAAAAGAATGAAGAAAAGGATAAAACAATTAGTACCTCATTTTCAACTCCGAAAGGTTTCAGTGCTATCCCTCAACAAACCCAACACAAAACCTGCGAAAAGGAATGCAAATAACACTAATACACCGAACTCAAGAAAATCTCGGTACACTTGAGCATATATAACACAAGAATATAGACTTATCAAAACAGTTGTTGAATATGAAAATGCATAACCAAACAAGCACTACAAAAAATGCCCAAATGGAAATGACTTTATTATACTTCACTGCAAATTGCACAATGAGCAAAAAACTAACTAGTATTTATGAAAGCCTAAGCAGAACCTAGATTTTCAAAGATTTAAACAATAAACTGAAAATGAAAACAACGCCACTTCGGTTTCCTCTTTAATTTGTTTGCATAAGTAAACTATCAAAGCTACCTACTTGAGCACGAGTGCGAACCACAAACATGACTATGTTAAAAGATCATATCTCCATGACCATGTCCGAATATGAATCAAACCCAAACGTCAAACAAGGGTATTCAATGGAAATGAAGAGTAGGGAAACATATGAAACAAAGCTGACAAAATACATAGCATATTGAAAAGTCTTCTGAAATTCTTCAGCTTAGGTCTCCATGAATTTTCAGCAATTATTACTTTATTAGCTCAGGAGAACGAAAGTTTTTTTTTATAGTAAACATCATCAGAGTGACAGAATAATTTCAATGCCGAATAACAAAAATACCAATTACAAGCTGAAGTTAGAAACTAAAATGCAAAGCAGATTACTTCTCCAAAACCCTAATTGAACAAAAAAAGCTAATTTACGTCAACCACTTCAGTTCAGGTCTCCAGAAATTTTCCCCATGGATTTTCTCGGAAGGACGAAAGTATTCATTTTCAATCATCCTCAGAGACATAAATGAAAAGAGAAAAATAATCAATAAAGTATAGCACATAAAAAAACGAAACAAAATAGGGAAAAATAAACTACAGTGTCTCTCCAGCTCAGGTCGCCATATAGAATTCCGCAAGGATTTTTCTCTCAGAAGAACGAAAATTTTTCAAATTCAAATATCATTAGAGACAATTTGTTGAAATCATTACAACATTGAAAACCCTAACAGAAAAATACTAGCTAAGGAGAACAGTGAAGGAAGCAAAGTAAATAGCGAAAATGGAAGAAAAGATTCAAAAGGGATTTACCTGACTAGCGCTTTGGACGATGAGATCTGATTTGAAAATAGAATCAGAGCGAAGAGCTGTTTTATAGGGGAATCCTTTCGGTTCTTGAACGATCGAATAAAAACCCATGGGCAATCCAAATTAGGGTTTTTCGGTGTTGGGCTTGAAACTTCTATATAATACCAGAATACGAATGATTTGGGCTTTTGGTTTATAGTTGTTTTAATTGGCAAAATTAACCCAATATCATAGGCAAGCTAATTATTTAAGCCAATATAATACAAAACAAATTGTTTAGGGATTTTCGGTATTTAATACAGTGACTTGGAACTCATCAAGTTGAGAATACGAGTTTTAATAAAAATATTTTTATTTAAAATTTTCACCTCATGTGAAAATTTAATAAAAAATCATATTTTATTAGAACTAATTACCTCAACGTGACGAGTTTAAATAAAAAATATTATTTTTATAAATTGATCAAGTCGGCTTAATGAGTTTGCCCTACACTGTAGCATTTGTCATAGATTACAAAATAAATCTAGAATTGACCTATTAAGCCAATTAATTTTTTCGTCTGGCCTAATGGGCCGAAAAAATTGTTTTAATTTACGGAGTTTAAATTTTCAATTAATTTTTTTTGTCATGCAGGACAAATATTTAAAAAAATGCTTTTTTAGGTCTTGTTTTTACATCACACTACAGTTGTGGAAAATTTGAACTAAAATGAAACAAAAAGAAAAAAAATGTAAGAAAAAAATTATGAAATTCATCTTGAAATTGGGTATGATACGTGTCAAAGATATATTTTTGACAAACATGTAAGTAGAAGACATTTTTTATATGATATAATGTAAAAACTAGTCTCTAACGTTGATTAAAATAGTCATTTTGACTCTTATTTTTAGAGCGTTTTGGCCTCAAACATTTGATTTTAGGGAAAAAAGATTTGTATCATTTAAACGAATAGTCACTTTGACCCTTATTCTTTTTTCAATAATTTTGGTCATCGATGTTTTATTTTAGGATAAAAAACCCTATTTTAGAGCATTAACAGTTTGTTAACCAATAATCTCTATCTATAATGGAGCATTAATCCTTATTTGATTTAATCGGACAATTTATTAAATGTAAGAGAATATATTGCACCGAAAGGAAGACTAAATCATAGGGTAAATACAATAGATTTTGAAAACATTGCTATTTGCTGCCCATCAACTTCAATTCAATACCAATTTTTCTCACATGCTGTACAAAAAACAGTGATAAGATAGCAGTTTAGCTATCTAAGAAACAAGAAATGAACTGAAATCTTTGTAATTCTTTTATTAATGAAAAGATGATCTCTCATGAGTTAGAGAGTAGCTATTTATACAAGCAAGAAGAAAATGCAACTACTGTGCAACAAATAATTAACAACTTAACTGCTCATAACAAGAAGCTAACAAACTGTTCTAGAACTATTCTAGAATTTACAACACATGCTCGTATACATAACACTAACATTCACCCTGTTTTATTAACTTCTTCAGTATTTGCCTCAGTTTCTGCAGCAAACTTCTTGACTTCAATATTCCCCTTGTCATTCCCACTTTGTAAACCTGCAGGAAACCCTCTTAGCTGTGTTACCAAGAGTCTTTTTATGTGCTTGAGAAAAGAGGCAGAAGATAGTGGCTTTGTCAAAACATCCGCCACCTGCTCATAAGCTGGAACCTCATTAACCTGTAAACGACCATCAATAACCATTTCTCGTACAAAAAATAAGTCAAGCTCAACATGCTTGAACTTATAATGCTGAACAGGATTGGCACAGACCGCAACAGTGTTGGAATTATCACACCACAGGGTAGCTTTGCCATGTGGAACCACGCACAACTCTTGTAGCAATAACTCAATCCAAACAAGGTCAGCAGCGGCAGAAGCAACACTCCTATACTCAGCTTCAGCCGTGGAATGAGAAACAACTTGTTGCTTGCGTGAGCTCCAGGAAATGAGATTTCCACCAAAGAAAATGCAGTAGCCAGTCGTTGAACGCCTATCATCAGGATCAAACCCCCAATCTGCATCCGTAAAACCAGTCAGAGACATGCGAGAAGATGCTGTAAAACGGAGACCATAATCAGCCGTTCCTTGAAGATAACGTAAAATCCTCTTAACATCCTGAAAATGGCTATTGCGAGGTGACTGCATGAATTGGCAGACTTTGTTTACTGCAAAAGCAATATCTGGCCGAGTAACTACTAAGTACTGAAGAGCTCTTACAATGCTTTTGTATTGGGCTACATCTTCAATGGGATCACCGGCAGCAACTGACAACTTACAATTGGAGACCATGAGATTAGGAAGGCTATTGACATCATCAAAACCATGCTTATGCAACAGCTCACGAATATATTTTTGTTGAGTCAAAACAAGACCATTGTCATCAGAACACACCTCAATGCCAAGGAAAAAATTAAGAGAGCCAAGATCTTTTAAAGAAAATCGAGCATGCAACTTTTCAATAACCCATTGCACCTCACTAGTATCACTCCCTGTCAAGATGATATCATCTACATATACAAGCATGTAGACAACACTACTAGCTGACTTTCGAACAAACAAAGATGAATCAGATTTAGACAAAACGAACCTTTCAGAGACCAGATACTCTCGAAGGCTCTCAAACCAGGCCCGAGGAGCTTGCTTCAAGCCATAAATTGCTTTATGCAGCTTGCAAACTAAACCATCACCAGCTTGCACAAAACCAGGAGGCTGAGTCATGTAAACCTCTTCAATCAAAGCCCCATTTAAAAATGCATTATTAATATCTACTTGACGCAACAACCAACCTCTTGTCAATTCAAGAGTAAGAATCACTCGTACCATTACAGGTTTCACAATAGACTAAAAACCTCATGAAAATCAATCCCTGGTCGTTGAAGAAACCCCTTCACAACAAGACGAGCCTTGTACCGAGACACTGTGCCATCAACATTACGCTTCACCTTAAAGATCCATTTGCAGTTGACATGTACACGGTCTTTAGGAAGAGAGACCAGAGACCATGTATTATTTGCAATCAAAGCATCAAACTCTTGCTGTGCAGTTTTCTTCCAATGAGGAATCTTCATAGCTTCTTTAATGGACCGAGGCTCTTCATCAAAGTATTCAACATGCAGAACACGAGGTTTTCGAATACCATCTTTGGCCCTGGTAACCATAGAATGCGTGTTATGAGGGACCCGAGATGGAGGGCAAGCAATAACCTCAGGCATACGTGCAGGCGAGACTTGTGCGTCAATCTCGTGTAGTCAAAACAAATTGTTCATCATTCTCGTGAAACAGAGGATCACGTGGGATGGTTGCATGAAAGGAACCACGCGTTGAATTAAATCAAGCATGCATTGAATCATGCGTTGATGGAGAATAACGTGAGTTGTTTCCAAATAACGATGTGGTCCCAACACTTTTTCTCCTTTGATTATTCTCATGCGCTGAAACAGCTTCCACTTGCGCATTAGTTGATGTGGTCCCATGAGTTTCGTCACCATGCGTTGAAGAAACACGTTGAAATGAAGCAGCACAAGGGCAGGTTCCAGCTTCCACTTGCGCACTAATTGATGTGGTCCCATGAGTTTCGTCACCATGCGTTGAAGAAACACGCTGAAATGGAGCAACACATGGGTTGTCCGCATGTGTTCCACTTACCGTTGGAGCACTTGTTGATGAATGGCACATGGGACCTTCACGTGGGCTGTCTCCACTTAGTGGTGTGGATTATCGGCATTTGTTGGAGACAATGGTGCAACATGTGGGCCATTTGCAAATAAAAAACTGTGTTGATAGTGGAGCACCATACATATAATCAATTGCGCGTGAAATGTTTTCACCTAATGGAGCAATCGTTGAAGACACTGGCGTAACATGTGAGCCACTAGCAATCAAAGAATCAAGCGAACATGTTGAAGGAGCATCACGCATGGGGCCATGAGCATTATCAACACGCATTGAATGAGCATCACATGGGTTGTTTCCATTTAATGGAGCAGGTGCAGGTGGAGCATGCGCTGGTGGAGCATGTGATGTATGTGCAGGGGAGACAAGAGGAATAATGCTCGTGGAGACACCATTATCAGGAGCAACACCTGAAAAATTACACATTTCATAAGGAAAAACACTTTCATAAAAAACAACGTGCCTCGAAATTATTACTCTGCCAGAGTCATCCAGACATTTGTATCCCTTATGAGTAGTGCTATATCCTAGAAACACGCACTTCTTTGATCTGAAATCCAACTTATGACGATTAAACAGACGCAAGCAAGGATAGCAAGCACATACAAACACCCTGAGAAAAGAATAATCTGGCAAGACACGATGCAGAGCTTCAAAGGGAGACTTGTCATGCAACACAAATCTGGGTAATCGATTGATAAGATAAACAGCAGAAACAAAGGCATAACTCCAAAATTTCTGAGGTAAGGAAGCCTGAGCTAACATTGTCAATCCTGTTTGAACAATGTGCCTATGCTTCCTCTCAGCCTTACCATTCTGCTCCGAGGTACCAGGGCACGAGAGACGATGCTGCAATCCATTGGCACAGAACCATTTTCGAAGTGGTTGATACTCCCCACCACCATCAGTCTGCAGTGCTTTAATTTTATATCCAAACTGTACTTCAACAAAATTTGTAAAATCAAGAAAACATTGAGCCACCTCAGACTTACGTTTCAAGAGATACACCCATGTATAACGACTACAAACATCAACAAAGGAGACATAATAACGAAATCCCTCAGTGGAGCATACAGGAGCTGGTCCCCAGACATCAGAGATAACAAGTTGGAAAAGCTCATTATATTCAGTCAAAGATTTACAAAATGGCAACTTATAAGATTTCCCTTGCATACAAGCAGAACACACATTCACTGCTTCAGTTTTATTGAAAACAAAACTACACGACTTCAAAACACGTTGAACAATATCAAGAGAAGGATGACCAAGACGCTGATGCCAAAATTTCAAAGACACCGGTGACTTCAAGACATTATTCACCAAGCAAGAAGACCTCTGATCCTCACAAGGCAGCAGCTGATACAACCCGTCATCCGTGAGCCTCCCTCGAAGCAGAACCACTTGAGTCCGAGCATCCTTCACAAGACATTCAGAAGGGTGAAATTCCATGAAGACACCATTGTCACGTGTGAACTGAGAAATATACAATAGCTTTTTCTTTATGTTAGGTACGTGCAACATATTTTGTAAAATTAAAGGCTTCCTATTTGAGCTCAAAAAACCTTGACCAACATGAGCAATTGAAATACCATCACCATTACCCATAAGCAAGGAATTACCACCCGTATAAAGAGTACCTGATTGAAACACAGAAATATCATTTGTTACATGATGTGTAGCACCAGTATCAGGGTATCACAAGGAGTCGGTTGATGCTGAAGAACAAGTCCCGGAGTCTGTTGGAACAGGGGACGCATATGCTGCTGAACTAAGAGTCAAAAAAGAGGGGGATGTACCATGAGGACCACAAGAGGTATTCGAAGCAAAACCAGGAGAGAAGCCAGGAAAGGGGTAATATCTAGGAGCATACGGGGAAGGAAAGTAAAACGGAGTGGGAACAAAGTTTGAACGAGAATGCATGGAGGTTACGGTGTGAGCATAAGGTTGTCCACCAGATTGTGAGTGTTTAGCAGAATTCCCAGCACCAGTGGGCTTCGAGCCATTCTCTTGCATCGACTCAGACCCGAACACACCAGTGTAGTCTCTATCAAAATGATGATAACACTTTTGGACCACATGTCCAAACCGGCCACACAACTGTCATTGAGGATGATTATTATTACGCCCTTGACCTTGACCTCGACCACGATATCCATTCGACTGTCCACGAGATGAATAATCCTGTGAGCCCAATATTAACATCTTGAGTTCCATAAGAGTCAGTTTCAGCAGCAGCACCTTCCCGAGAGTGAAGAACAAGATTTGTAGAAAAGTTTTCACTCAAGAACATCTTCTGTCGAGCCTCACAATCTAACAACATCTCAGTAAGAACATCAAGAGAAAAATTTTCTCGTGATGCAATTGCAATAATGGACTCAAACTATATTATAAGTCCAGCTAACACAACATTAACATGTTCATGCTCAGTAACCACACTACCTGAAGCATTCAACAAATCACATATGGATTTGACTTTGGCAAGATGCTCCCTAATCGTCAAACCAGTCTTTCGCTGGGAATGAAGATTATGGTGAAGAGGAGAAATCTTGGCACTGGAACGAGCACCAAACAGACCAGATATAGTATTCCAGATTGACATTGCAGTTGTAAGTCCGGTCAAGTGAGGCAGAACCTCTGTACTCACAGTAGTTAAAAGCCATGAAGCAAGCAGTTTATCTTGTTGGTGATGAGCTGCAAACACTGTATTCTCTTCAAGTTGTCCAGACACATTAGTGATGAACTCATCTGGTGCAACAAAACCTGCAGAGATGAACCTCAGCAACCCATAGCCATCAATTATCAAAGCCACTTGATGCTTCCAAAGAAGGTATGTGGATTCAGTGAGTTTAACAGTGTCATGCTTTGGTATATGTTGAATGCCAAACATACCTCGAGAAGTTCCAGGACTCAGGGAGGAAGTATTCGGAGACACATCCTCGGGATCAACAGTCAAATCAACCATGACACCAAGAATACACTATGTGAGAACTTAACCTCGTGCAACTACTGGAATGAAGAAGAAACAGCGGAAGAAAACACCCAGGTATTGGCAAAAGATACCATGATAAGATAGCAGTTTAGCTATCTAAGAAACAAGAAATGAACTGAAATCTTTTAATTCTTTTATTAATGAAAAGCTGATCTCTCATGAGTTAGAGAGTAGCTATTTATACAAGCAAGAAGAAAATGCAACTGTTGTGCAACAAATCATTAACAACTTAACTGCTCATAACAAGAAGCTAACAAACTGTTCTAGAACTATTCTAGAATTTACAGCACATGCTCGTATACATAACACTAACAAACAGATCATCACCCTTTCATGGCACTGTGGGTCTGTCTTCTCGACTAACCCCAAACTAAGTTCCAAAATATGGGTCTAATCTCGAATTCATTGAGTATCTATCGAAAAACATTGAACCGTTAACCGACCGAAGCTCTACGAGGAGTGCCTTTCCGTTTCTTCGATTGTTTCCTAGGCTTTAAACTCTTTGACACCGATGTTTTTGTCTCCCAGGAGACATCGGTCGATGAAAGGGATGATTGCTTCTCTTCTGTGCTTATTTCCGGTGAATTTTCATCGTACTTCCATGGAAGATCGGAGAAATCTCGTATCGACAATTCGAGTTTACCGGTTCGGTTTCTAGGCTTTGCATGATCAACAGTTGAGACCTGAAATGTGTGCTGGTATTAAGGATTAAAGAAATGTGTTGGGATTCAAGTGTTGGAAATGGGGTTGAATTTCGCAGACCTTGCATGCAATGGAACAAAATCTATTAGGTGAGTCTTGAAGGTATCTCCCACAAGCATCACATGCGGCACCGGTTCTCGATTTCGTCGACGGCTTGGCGTCTTTAGCTTGAGGCCGAGGATTCAAATGCACAGCCTTTTCACCATTGATTTTGTATGTCTGTCGAATGGTTACATAAAACAACGATCATTTCCAATTGCTCGTTCATGTATGCGTATATCAGTGACAATCACAAGAAAATTCTATACAAATTGTGCATTCTATTAAGTGAATTGCATTGAATCCATTACAATTACAACGAAAATTTCGAGAACTAGAAGACCAGTGAGAGGCATTGGGAAATTACCTGAATTTTGGAACTATCAATGTGTTTCTGCATTTCTTGAAGGCGAGCAACATCTTGGTACACATATTTGCAGATCTGAAGTGAAAGATGTTGGCTATGAGCCTCGCAATGCCGGCAAAACCCAAGTCTGCAATCGATGCAGAACACGTTCTTCTCGTTTTTTCTAAGGCCTTGATGTTCAGAGCAAGGGCCAAAGAACTCGGTTCGAAGAAGAGTACTTAGCCAATCTGCTCTCTCCTTTATGAACAACTCGCAGCCCACCTGCAACAACCGGATTCCGAATTCATTCGAATCGGAAAAGGTTACGAACTTCCAAGCTTGTAGATTTACAATTCATTCCAAGATTATAGCTTTGATGGTTAAGAAGTACTCCAAAGCAATGGAAACAATATAGTAAAGCTAATACAGTTTTTTTTTTCATGATTAGAACAAAGTTGCAGTAAATAAATATTTCCTGGGAAACAAACAGACCATGACATCCAGATAACAACAATCACCAAAAGGGAAAAGAAAGTACCCATCATTCAACACTTTACAAATTGAAGAAAAGAAGCAAAATCTCTCACCATTTTCTTTGCTTTGAGTTTTGATATTATAGAAATTCTTATTTGTTCTGCTCAATACTCTAATGAATACACTTTGCACATTAGAATTTGCAGAGAAAGTCAAGGAAAAATGATTCTTTTAAGGAAAAAAGAGAAATAAAGAGAGTGAGAAGAGAAGCCTAGAGAATGTGGAAAAGTGATGATGTGAGGAATGTGCAGAGAAATATATTAAAAATATAAAATAAATATAACAGATAAAAAGGGAAAATTCAGAGAAAAAAAAAAGAAATTGTCAGCAAATGTTTCCTAAGGAGATCCCTAGGCGGGAAAGGTTAATAAATCATCCTGATCGGTGAGCTAAAACTTGATCGGACGGCCATTAAATTTTACAACCATTTTTTAAACAAATAAGTAATTTTCTCTACAATATTCAGAGGCATTAGGTATTAGTATTTAAAGTCATAAATTTAGTATTATCTGCTGAACTTTTTAAATTATATATTTTAAGAAATAATATATTAATATATATATTGATAAATTATTTTATCACACTAGTATAGAACATTTTTTTTAATTTTAAACTATTGATAAATACATTTGTCGATTAACTTTATGTATGTAAACGAACCTAACGTTTATCGAATCATTCGGCAGAAAATTTATTTATGTTCGTTTATTTATTAAACGATTGAACATGAACGAGCACAAACAGAGGGTTCGTTCGTTCATTTATATTCATGAACGTTCGATAATATGTTCATTTATGTTTGTTCGTTTATGTTCATTTATTTTCATTCGATTACTTTAATTCGTTTATGTTCGTTCATTTATATTTAGTCCAATCTCTCTATACCCATTTAAAATATTAAGGCCCATTAAATTTTAATTTGATACTCATTAATATTTTAAAATTCAATTAATTTTAAATACAAATAAAAAAACCCAAAACAATTAAATACAAATTAACTATGAAGTTGCAACTTGTACTAATGAATTTTATGTGATTATTGTTGTCTTGGTTTATGTTAATTTATGTTCGTTTGTCTTGTTTTTTTATGCTCGTTTACATCCGTTTGTTTATGTTCGTTCATTTGTGTTCGTTTATCATTTAAATGAACGAACATGGACGAACACGAACAAACTACATTCCTCAACGAACGAACACGAACAAGAAAGTTTTTGTTCGTTTATTTTCGTGTTCATTCATTTGTTCAGTTAAAGTTAAACGAGCAAACATGAACATACTCGTTTGTGTTCGTTCGGTTCGATTACAGACCTAATTAACTTCTTATCATTTTAGATTAAATAATATGTTGATAAATATCTACATTAATAAAAAAAGGTTAACTACACAGATGATCACATATATTTGTCCTTTGCCTACTTTTGGTCACTAATTTTAAAAAATATAAGATATAGTCACTTTCGTTATTATTAATTAAGATATGGTCACTTCTGTTTTTATTTAATTAAGATGTGATCATCACAGGTTAACTGTTGTTAACATTGAACAAAATATGTGATGTTATAGTTGGTATAATCACACATTTGGTCCTTATTATTTACATATTCTCTCAATTTAGTCATATTTTTAAATAACTTTAACACAAAATATATATTTTACAATGAAAATAAAAATAAAATATTTTTAAATTAAGTTAATAATAAAATATATTTAATAAGTTAAAATAAAAAGTATTTTTAAGCTAATATATACATATATATATATATATATATATATATATATATATATTGTGAATTTAAATATTTATACACTAAGGTACAAAATAAATACATCATGACCAATGAATGGTCTTGACTTAATGGTTAGATACATGTTTAGTTTCCTAAGTGACCAAGGTTTGAATTTTTTTGCCCCAATTTGCTTTCCTTTCCTTTGTTTTCTTTCAACCGGAGGATGGCACATGTCACTCTTTGATCGGTAGAAGTAAATACATTAAATTAAAATAAAGTGAGTTTTCCAACCGAATAGTGGCACGTCACATCATTTGATAGGAGGATCAAATTTATTTTAATTAATTAAAAATATGATTAAATTGACATAATATGTAAATAATAAGGACCAAATGTGTGATTATATCAAAATATTTAACCGTTGTTAACGATAGATAGCATGTGTGACTACAACTTAATTAAATAAAAACGAAAATAACCCTTCTTTGTGGTTAACCCTAAAAGAATTAAAATGATTGATCACTTGTTTGATTGAAAATTTATATGATCATTTTTCAAAAGAAAATTAATTAACTATTATTTTATGTAAAAAAATTAAAATTTGAAACAAGAAATTACCATTATAAGTACAATATCATTGTTTTTTTTGGATAATTAAAAATTTTATATCCAAAAGGAAGCAGAAACCTGCTACAATATCATTGTTTTTAACGTCTTCACTCATGACGTGATATTCTCATACACGTAATCTCGTGATGTAATTATTTACATAATTACCACGATTATTCATTTAGTTCATCTTATTTATTAGGATATCAAACAATCGAATGATCATTTTAATATCATTAGTGATAAGGTCGTATCGTTACTCTCTTCTTAAACAATCAAATGATCGTTTCATTGGGATGTTTTTAAATTGCACATTTTTAATGATAATTAGTTTATACTTATAATCTTAACATCATTTTATTAAAAAATTATATATTCAAAAGTAAACATTGATAAGCACGAACCAACTTACTTCACCAGTTAAAGGAATCGAGTTCAGAAAATATTAATCTTTTCTTAATTTCGTCTGGATTATGTTTTATTTTAGAGGGCAAATTACCATGTTCATGTTTTGGTCGATAAACTTTTTTTTTTAATTTTATAACTTAACTTTTGAATTATTATGTTCTTGATCACTCAATACATTAAATGAAAAACAAAATGATAACATAGTAAGTTTTTCTTATTATTAATGTAGAAGCCACCTCATTTGTTTTTTTCTCTCTCTTTTTTGTTTGTAGTTCATTATCATCCCAACAATTTTAAAGTTCTTGGAGATTCATCTCTATCTCGTGTCGCCATTGACATTGTCATTCTTCAACGTCTTCTTCGATCACTTCAATTACCAATGAACTCATCTCATTGTTCCTTATTATTTTATCAGTTTTTCTCCTAAAATAAAATTGTGTTACTTCATCTTTAAACCCAAAGGAAAATGACTTTGATCTATGAACTAATGTTCGTCTCCTCTTTCTCCACTTTCTCATTATTAAAATTTGAAGAAAAAAATGCTCCGACACCGAAAAATCAAAAGAAATCCAAAAGGTTAAACTAAAATTTTGAGAAGGAAGATCCTAAGAGTATTTTCACATATTTAAAAGAGAATTTAGGAATCTTTTCATAATTTTAAAAAGATAGATATCTAGTCATAACACCTTTAAATAATTAACGACGGGTTGATAGAAAAATATAACAATGCCAAAATTAAGTGATTAAATTTAAAATTATTATTAACCGATGGGATTGGTTTAAGTAGTAAGCATCTTGATATCGTTTAAGTAGGTCTCGAGTTCGAGTCCTTGTGTATGTAGAAAATTCTCACTTGGACACTTACCCACCAAAGCCATGTGTGTAACCCTGATCGAGCCGGACTAATCAAGATAAAACCTTAAAAATCGGGAGGACAACTGAAAAGAATATTAAAATTATGGGTAAACTATACCATAGACCACCCAACTATAGCCACTTTTCATTTTGACCACTGTTTTTGAATTATTGTCAATCAGACCACCCGACTATTTAAATGCATTAAATCATATCACTTGTTGTTAACTGTTAACAGAAATATCGACGTGGCAGTTAATAAAATTGATATAATTACACATTTGGTCACTGTTACTTATATATTCTATCGATTGGTCCTAATTTTAAAAAATAAAATAAATTTAATATTCGAATCAGATTATGACAGGTGTCGTCACCCGATTGAAAGATTTAATTTATTTTAATTTAAATATTTAGTTTCCACCAACTAAAGGGTGACACGTGTCACCCTTTGGGTGAATGAAAATTAAAGGTGCCAAATAAGGGTAATGGGATTCAACCTTGGGTTGTGTGGATGGCAAAGAATAGCATCCACCACTGGACAAAACTGATTCTTTGCCTTAACTACATGTAATATGTAACTTGTATCTTAGTTTAATTTTAAATTCTTAATATCATATATATCTTAACTTAAATTCACATCTAATAAAATTAAATATATAGTTTATTCTTAAATAAAATAAAAAAAATATTTTAGTCTTTTTTAAACTTACAAAATAGTTTTTTACCTTAACTTAAATATTTAAATTTTATTCTTATAATATTTTACAATTAAGATAAAAAATTATAGTTAAGATAAAAATAAATATATTTATTAAATTAAAATAAGAATAAAATATACATTTTTAAATTAAAATAAAATATATATTTTTAAGTTAATATAAGAATAAATAATATTTAATAATTTTAGTTAAAATTAGAATATATTTAATAATTTATAAGTTAAGATAAGATTAAAATATATTTTTAGTTAAGATAAGAATAAAATATATTCAATAATTTAAGAAAAAATAAAATATATATTTAATGTTAAGACGTGATTTTAAGTTAAAATATATTAAGAATTTAAAATTATACTAAAAACAAAGATACATACTATATGTAATCAATTTTAAACCAAAAACTAAACTTGGCCCAAAGGTTGAGCTATTGCTCTCTCATAGGCCTTGTTGGTTCAAGTTCCTATGGCCCTTTATTTAGCAATGTAAATTTTGTCCTCAGTGACACATGACATGATCTGATTCGAAGATTAAATTTATTTTAATTTTTTAAAATTAGAATCAAATTGATACAATATATAAGTAACAGTGACCAAATGTGTAATTATACCAATTTTATTAACTGCCACATCATCACTTCCGTTAAATGTTAACTGCTAGTGGTTGATTGAATGCAATTAAATAATTGAGTGGTCTATTTTCAAAAAAAAAAAGTTATGCGGTCTGATTGACAAGAAATAAAAAATGGTGGTCAAAATCAAAACAAACTATAGTTGAATGGTCTCTGATATAGTTTACCCTAAAATTATTAAAATTCAGTGACTTAAATAAAAATATGGTCAAATTCGGGACCATATGTTACTTCCACGAAGGCAGCGTTGTCAAATCCACTGTCATAGCCATTGCAAACCCCTGGCTAATAGTGTATGGTCTGTGTCATAATAATTTATACTTTGAAAATTCTTAGGTCCACTTGGAAGATATGGTTCCGACAATTCTTAAAAATCAACAGACTTATAGCCATTGCAAGATTATAAACATTATAATACCAAATTTTATAAACATGATTATAGTACCAAAAATATGATATAAATACATAAACTGAATGATTCAAATGTAAATTTTATAAAATGGCATATAATATCAAAGTGACGTAGGGACAAGGAATGCACTCGGAGACTGGAGGGGTAGAAGTTAAAACCTTTGTATGAAGCGCAATAACTCTCAACTCATCATTTTCTCTACAAAATTGGGTGTGTTTGTTTTTGGGGGGGCCGGGGGGGGGGACCCGAAGAGCCAGATACATGTAAATCCCAGTATCAAGAGTAGACAACTTGCTCTTTCGGACTCGGTTCGCCGTATCTCAAATCTATGTTGCATCCTGCTACTTGATTCACGAGTTCCGGTCGAAACTTCCGTAGCCGTATGGAAGCATAGAAATGATGCAACCGAACTTTTCTGATGATATTCACCTTATATTGTTTCGAATCATTCAAAGTGGAGATGGTGTTTTCTTTTACGACACCTATCGACATACCAAGTTGCATGTTTTTTAAGGCCCATGCCTATCATCACTTTTAGGCTTGTGAGCATGATATAGGTCACCGAGATCAAGAAAAGGATCCAAAAGTGTCTCCACGGCAAGGGACTGTACGGCAGGTGAGCAGCATATACCGGAGTCAGCACTCGAACGACCTCGAGATAACAGAAAACAAATTAAGTACTTGGAAATACTTGCAAGAAATTCAGAGTAGTGATGCCGGTTAACCAGAAACTGAACCATTTTCTCAGAAATGGTAAAATTCGAGCTTTTCCCTAGCACTTTAGAGCCTAGCAAATATAATACTTCCCAACAAAGCCATGATCTTAGCTGTTTCCCCACGGCATCAGCAATTTTCCACCCATGTAAACCATAAACAAAAGGAAGGAAAAGGGAAGAGAGCGGGGCGAACGAGCAAAGAAAACAATTGAACAAAGTATTAACGGGTTCTTACCACACAAGCTGGAGCAAGAGGAACAAAAGTGAGATTTTTTTTGTTATCTTCAGTTTGCATATTTAACGTCTGAAAATGGCATTTTGTTAGTTTAAAGTTGATAATACATCAACAGAAAGAATAAAAAGTATGTGAGAGGGGAAATGGTATACGATTGCAACTTTTGTTCCAAGAAAAACAGTTGGGAGATAATTATCAAATGAAAACACCAATTAGAGAAGCACATACCTGCTTGCACAGATCTTCAAGAAATTCCGAGTATTCAATGGGCTTGATACCATTGAACTTGGCAAGGAATGAATGTTTTATGATATCAATTAACATTTCACAGAAGAAAACCACGAAAGCGTTCTGCAGAGTTCATACACAAAATATGAGCAAGCCATACAAAGTCGTCTGAAGTATTTATGATATTAAAATATCCGAAGGCAGATACTGCCATGATCTTTTATGTACTTACAAAAAAAAAACTTTCAAACCAAGGACTCTGAGCTTCCAGGATATTCTGAGCTAATACGGATACGAGGAATGCTGAAATGTGGAATCGCTCTATTGAATCTGAGAGGAAACATAATAAAATAGTTTATAATAGAACAAAAGGACCACAGCAATTAGCAACACACACAAAAACAAATGCGGGTAAACAACATTTAATATATGTTTCTAATGATGATTTTCCACGAGTTCAATTGTAGCAAGATGGTTCTTACACACTAACAGATATATGTATTGTCACTTCTTGCTCCTTCTAACTAATATTTCCACCAGTATGGAAGTAAAATAAACTTAACAGGAAAATATCTTCAATATTTCACTTGATCTATATATAACCATGATCTGGAAAATGTTACAGTGATGGCTCCTTTTGCAGTTTAAATTCAGCAAGTATCCCAAAAGTCATTAGGCAGTCACAGACAAATACCATAAAATGAAATGTATAAAGGAGCAACTCACCTGCGTATGCGAGATTGTGGATGTTATCCTTGCTAAAGCGTTTAAAGGCATTGCTTTTTATCTCAGCAAAGTTATTGGATACCAGCAAAGCAAATAGTGCGTTATTATGAGCGACAATGCAAGTAGATAACGTAATTGCCTGAGCTAATAAAATAAAAGAATGGAGAAGTAATGATAGTCAAAGAAACAAATAGAACAAGAATATTTAAGAAGCAGGGGGTAAAGAGAGAGGGAGGGAAGGAAAACATTGCTTAAATATAAGGATATTTGAGAAAGCCATAGCCAATGCTTGATCAGAAACAAATCTACGGATCCAGAATCTCATGTTTTCCTGAGAGCAATTTGCTAGTCCTTCTGCAGAATTAAACAGGGTTTGAAACACACCTCCACCAAAATTTTGGCATAATTTATCAAATATCTGCATACAAACACAAAAGAGAACGTCATACAAAATTCAGCCAGAACACCAGCCAAAATATACAAAGTTCAGTGGAATCAATATGGATGAACACACACATTTTTGTGTGTGGTAGAAATAGATCCTACAACGGAGGCATAAAAGACAATCTAATATTTAATATATTCTAGATGAAAGAATTTATTTTAAGCAAAAGCAGTCATACTAAGCAACTCCATATCCATGGCCTTAATCCTTTTCCTTTAGATATTCTTCACATAAAACTTAATAGTTATTATTTCTACCTCAGAAGTGAAATTTCCCAAGACATTGTTAAATAGAACTATTCTAAATACAGGCCATCAGCTGTGATAACCAGTTGTTTAGAAGAAAAAAAATCAATTATAAAGTTCAATGATTAAAAGGCTGGGAGCTTAAATTTCTCATATTTCAATATATAAATTAAAGAATGTTTACTTCTCAACATATAGAAACCTGTCACTCAGTTGCCTAAAATTGGTCTCTTTACATTAGAAATACCAATTTGAACTCCAATCATAGACACTACCAAGGTGTCACATTGTAATCAACTTGAATCTATTAAGTTCCAGCATCACTAGAGTGAAAGATAAAAATCCAAAATTCATGAAGCATCAAAATCTCACAGTTCAGAGAATTATTGTTCATGGTCAAAATTCAGTGTCTGATATGTACTCTTAAATGCATTCATGGTTCTCAGGTTCAGCTGTTTGCTCTCACCTCAAACACATTGTAGACCACGTAGAGTTTGATTGTTCCCTGCCCACGAATCATATGATATATTAGGCTGATATCTGGGAAGACAAAAGCAAAAATTAGAAAAGAAAACCGCTTAGGCAATCAGTACTACTTGTTACTCTTGGGTAGAGCAGTAATTATGCCTCAAAGTCTTAACAAGCACCAACGACATGAGTGTTCTAAATGGTTATATATTACAAACATTGTGCAGTGATATGTCTTGCTACCTGTTTGTCCCAAGAGAATGACTCCACAGGCCAGAATAAGAAAGCAGCCAAAATCACACAGCTCTGCCGCAGAAAGCCTCTTGAACTGCCTGCCACAAATGGTAGGGTTATTTTGCAAGCATTCCAAGTTGCAGAAATTGCGCTATGTGCCAAACAAGAAGAATATTGTAACTTCATATATGGCCCAAAAGAAACAGAAGTAGATAAACTAAAAGAAGAAAAGGGAGAAATAACAATTTTTATAAACAGACACTAAGGAGAGTTTCATTCTAAACTTCCTCATTCTAGGGAATAGAATACATTTTTTATACAAGGAAAAAACAATATTTTATTCTTATCTTTATATTGAGGAAAAAACAGTGAAAACATTTTCAAATTGTCTTCTTCAAGGAGCTTGGCATGATGCCGGCCTTACTGAAGCTTCCAATTGAAAGCATGAACCATAATTCTAATACAATCCTTTTACTACCAGAGGAAAGCTTAAAGAGAGAAAGAATAATTATTTTGACATAAATTTACTACAAGCATGGCATCCAAAACATTTTGAATGAGAAATGAGATGTACATTTGCATGGCACATCTGCATGCATGTATTTCCAACAAATCATATGCATCGAAGTATGTATATATATATATATATATCTACAATATATATAAATAGCTAACCTTGTAGCCAGGAACCTCCAAAGCTTAATCATAATCCTTGTTGGCATGATAGTTAACAAGGACAGAAACGAATCAAAGCAGACAAAGAAGCCAACATCTATAAGCTGAAATAAAATTTTTACTCCTGAGAATATTTCATAAAAAATATAAAGTTAAAGGTTAAAGGAAAATAAATCAATTTGTCTTATCAAAAAAAAATCAATTTGATTATGCAATCCACCTGAAGTAGAACAGTATTTCGGCATTTTAACAAATAGTATAGACATAGTTACTAGAAGAGACAAAATGCAAATCCAATAAACAATGAATGGTAAGCGCAAGCAAACTTGTAACTACTAAAGTGATGAGGTATGCTGTATGGGTAGAGATTACCAACAAAACCATCTTTTCTTTTCCTTTCTGTGACTCTCTTTTTTATTTTATTCCAGTCAAAGTGTAGAAAGGGAAAGCTAATATTACCACTTCACATCTCCATGGCAAGCGGAAGATGGTGTCATACACTCTCTCTCGTTCTTTCTCACTACCAAATGTTGTTGTCCTTCGCAATGAATTTCCACTATACATTTCATCCAAAAAGTATTTTGCCGGTGATTTCTCCAACGAATAAAGGACTGAAACGTGTCATGCCAAAAAAAAAAGAATATATTTTTAACTTACACTTCCAAATTCCAAGAAATATAACTGAAACAAACAAAGAGTGCAGATAAAATGCTCAGTTTCCCTAAATATTCCTTCAAGCAGCAAACTTGTGGTCAGAATCCTTTCATGTCTTAATACCAAGAGAATATTTCTCTATAGAAAATTCTGCCAAGTAGTCGGACTATATGTGAAGAATCTGAACTTCCTAGATCCAACATTCTGAAATAAACATATATATATATATATATATAGCAGTGCATCATGCAAAGATGAGAGATGTCAACCACATGGGCCATGCATTAGTAGCATTCCTTTTTCAAGTTATGCAGAATTTTTACGGAAAATTTTGCTACAAGTTTGTTGTAACATATCCAAACATAACTAAGCCTCAATCACAAGAACTACTTCATATCAAGCTTTGGAACTTTCAGGATTTGACTCATGTAAGGTATATGAAGAGGCTTAATGGACATCATACCCTGTACTCGAAAAACAACCTACACGAGTGAATTACTTTAATGAATTAAACTTATACATTAAAATTAATGCATTTGTATTCTATAAAAGTCTTCTTATCTCTATTCTACACCATCAACTACAATCATTTCAATAACTAGTAATGGTAACGTAAGAGTGATACCATCAACCATGATCGTTGATATAGCTAATACATTCTAATAACAGTTTACTTAAAATCTTAATTGCCTGGAATTGATTCGAAAACACTGATTAAAGTCAATATACCAGCATTTAATTTATATTCGTCCCTAATTTTCTTCTACCAAGTTCCATACCAACATATATTTCCATGAAATTTTCAATCGAAAGATTTGAATAAAAGCTCACAATTGGGGTCCTCTGACATAAGACGCTTCCAATCCAACGACTCAGCTGTCTCCAGCTTCTTAGCCACATTCGCATTAGCCACTGGCTGAGGCGATGCCGGCGGCAACGGATCCTTCTGAATACTCATGCCCACAAGACCCTCCTCCGTCCTGGACGCCACCTTCTCCGTCTCCTCACCTCCTCCAATGACATTCCTCTGTCTCAATTCCCCAAAACCCCACACATTCTGACAAACGCTCTCTTCCATAACCACGACGCTCCCGTCGCCGACATAACTGATCCTGTTGACGCTTCCATTATCCCTGATCCCATAATTCTCGGAATCCAACACGGAGGCGGCGGGGCTACTGCTTCCGCGCTTTTCCGCGACCGGATCTTCCGGGATCACCGCGGAATCAGACGTGAACTCCTTCCTCTTCCTCTGTCTCTTCTTCTTCCGACTACTCCGGGACGGTTTAGCGACGCCGTTTTGGAGTTCGGTCGGATCTGAACCCGATCGGTGAAGCGAAGATCGGAGTTCTCCTTCTACAGAACTACTCTGGCTTAAAATCTCGAATGAGAGCTGCCTTCTCCTGCCTGAGGATTTCAACGCCATCGCTAAACCAACATTAGAGAGAAATCTAGAAAAATAAATAAATAATTTTATGCATACGACGAAGATTGAAATCCAGATTTTGTTTTTAAACTATTGCTTTTGATTTGCTGTTACGTTGAAGGTAGAAAGTGGGGCGCCAGTGGGAACTCAAAGCTGTTGGGTTTTCATCCGGTTTCAAGGAATGTGTTGGATTATGACTTCGCCCCACGAGCTATTGGCGCCAGTGACGACGCTGGACCAATCACGGTCCTACACGTAACACTTTTTTTTTTAATAATAACCATTCGAATAAAAATTTAATGGTTCATTATTATCATTATTTCTCTATTGGAAGGTTTCATTATTTGTTATGAAATCGAAATTCATGATATCTTTTTTATTTGTTTTTATTATTATTATATATATTAGTTTAAAATTAACTAAATAATAATAATAATAAATATTTTTTTCAAAATGTACCAAATTATTGGAAAGATATAGTTAAAAGTTGTTGATGTGAAAAATAACATAAAAATTATTTTAATTTCAAATATATTATTTTCATTCATTATAAAAATTTAATTTGACACTTCTAGATGAAAGTGCATAATATAGTTAAAAAAAGAATTTCTCGTATATTATTCGTGGTTTTTTATTTTCTTAACTAGAATGACATCTACAATATTTGGAAGACATCAAGATTGTAAGGTTTTGTCTTAGTTAATCTGGATCGACTCGCAACGCATATATAATTTTGGTGGGTGAATCTTCTAACAATAATTTTATGCATACACTAGGACTCGAACCTGAGACTTTGCTTAAATGATACCAAGCTGCTTACTAATTGAACCAACTCGTTGGCCAAGTCTTTTATTATATAATTAAAATTATTTTAATTTACATCAACATAATTATAATTCAATTGATAAATATTAATTTTTATCGTTATAAATTAAAGTTTCGTGTCATTCATTTCTTAACATTTATAATAATTTAAAATAGATAAATTAAATCGTTCAAAAGTTTTAAAAAAAAGTAAAGCATATAAATGGTCCCTGACTATAGCATGATGCTTTAGCGTGTCTCTCGATTATTAAATGTTACAAAATGATCCTCTGATTATAGAGTATTGTTTGTTGAGTCCTTCGACTATTAAAAAGTTATAAAATGGTCACTCGACTATTAATTATGTTCCAAATTTGTCATTTTATGTAAAAAAAAATTGACGGCAATATGAGCTGAACGTTAACTTGTTGACTGTGATATGACAAAATATGGTCCCAAAATCTCAAACGACTATCATATCTCAGTCATCATGCTAACGTTAAGCTCAAACAACAGTCAATTTTTAAGATAAAAGAATGAGTTTGGAACACAATGTATAGTCGAGTGACCATTTTGTAACTTTTAATAGTCGAGGACTCAATAAAATAGTTATATATAATCAAACGACCATTTCTGTAACTTTTAATAATTGAAAGACTTAATATCTATGCGTTGCCACTTAATTAAATAAAGAAAATAGTAAATTACGCATTTAGTATTTAAATTATTATTTTTGAACCGTTCTGATATTTAAATTTTTATTTTTTTTCAAAATCATATCAAATATTTAGTTTTTGTTTCATTTTAGTACCCAATCGTTAAAAACTTAACATGTTTAATACATAAACTATAAGTTTTTGTTCGTTTTAGTATTTAAACTTTCAAATTTTAAAAAAATTAACGTTAAATTTCGAACATAGGTATTGAAATGAAATAAAAACTAAATTTTAAGTATGATTTTAAAAAACCAAAAGTTTAAATACTAAAACGGACCAAAATTGATAATTTAAATACTTTTCTATAGGCCTTGTATTGACCAGTTTGCTTTGAGACCGAGTACCATTTTATTCCAAGTTTTTCAATAGAATAATTAATATTAATTTTATTCACAACTTATTTTGTTTGAGGCTTAAAGAAAAAAAAATCAAAAGCAAATGAAAAATGAATCAATAATCTTTTTATACTTTAATCTGTGTGTTTTGTACATTGAATTGTATATCTATAAAATTATAACAAAATTTTTTTTCCCTAAAATGGTCTTTTGAGATCCTTGAACTGATCCATGGGATCAACGCATTCTACTTTGTTCCTATGAAGATTCAACATTTTCAACAACTCTGAAACTCTTTGCTTCGTCTTCTCAACACACCCAAGCTGCAATAACAGCAAAAGCTTCTGAAAAGCTCCGACCTGAAGAGCTTCAACGATGACGCCACCGTCTTCCCTTTGCTCGTCCTTGCAAAGCTTATACAAAACGGAGACCGAGAACTCGGTCGCCGAGTTGGAAACTCGGAGGATTTTCTTAACCAAAACCGGGATCGTCAAGGCATTGTTGCAGGCCATTTCCCTGCATTGTTCGCTGTCGACGATGCCGTCGAGAACGCCCAAGGCTTTCTCGCACATTGCCCTTTCGGCGTCGACGAGAGTTTCTAGCAGCAATGGGACTACGCCCAGGTTTACGAGCTTATTGACTTGGTTTTGGCTGGTTGAAGACGATGTGATCATGTGGTAAATGATGGTTAATGATGCTTTTGTTGATGTTGAGCAAACTGGGTTTTTGATGAGCTTGAATAAAGCTTCGATGGCACCTTCGATGTCTGATAATATATTCAGTGTTTTTCTTTGATCTTCCATTGATGAAACGAGCTCTTTTAAGGCCAAAACTGCGCTTCTTCGCCTAGATAAGTCTCCGCTGCTTAAAAACCATATCAAGGAATGTATGGCCGGAGCTGATACTAAGTAGCCCTTGGCTTCTCCGTCGAGAGGGGACATCGTAATCAAAGCCGACAATATCTCCTCCAATACCGTGGCGTTTTCGGGGAAAGAAGTGGCCGCGGTAAACGTCGCGAAAGCTTCCGATAAAGCGGCGCCCGCCCCATTGGTCGCAATGCACCGCTTGTTACGTTCGCTCTCTTTGGCAAATGCCTTGATTTTCGCCACCGAAGCTCGACACCCTTCGGTGTCCAGCTTATTGCGAGCGAAGTCGATCTTCGAAAGGATTCGCGAAACCTCCACGGAACTTATCGGAACACGAGGGGTAGGGATCCTTTCGATACCGTAAGACCGATTCTCGACGCACCAGTCTTGTATCTTCCTCCTTATGACGTGATTCGGTATTGGTTCGAGACTCCTCAGAACCTGGTTCGTGAGAGGACAAGTGAAATTCCCGGCCTCGATCCACTTCTCGATGCTCTCCCGATCGTACGTTATCCCCGACGACAACGTGACCGGATCGTTCATCAAGTCTAACGATATCGGACACCTGAAATCCCTTGGGATCGTTAGCTCCATTTCGCCGTTCTCGTTCCTTTGCTGCTCTTTCCCTGCACGCTTTGCAGCTCTCCTCTTTCTCCAGGAAGAAATCATCATCTGGGGAAAAAATAATCTCCCTTCTCTCCTTGTTTGGGATCAATGAAAAAGAATTGTACGTGTTGTGTTGAATGGATTTGAAATTCGATTGAGCAATATTTAGCCTACGTGTGTGTTTATATATATATATTATGAATACCATATGGGATTGCTCAACGTTTAATACCTTGAGAAAATATTAAAAAAATTGAAGAAGAAGAAGAAGAAGAATGGGAAAAGGTTTGAATATTTGACCTTTGAAATGGTAAAAGTGTTGGAACATTGAACTTTGTCAAGACAAATAAAGTCGGCGGATTTCAGAATAAATCAAACATTTTGACGCAACAAGTGCCCCGTCATTGCGCTGACTCGCTCGAGCGGTCGGTCCAGGTCCTGCCAATGTGATGCAGACTTTTCATTTTCTTTTACCTAATATTAAATTCTTATAAGCTAGATAATAAAAATTTGTAAATCAATATTTACACTTATATTTTAGATTTAAATATATACTTAAAATTTCTTTCACTATTTTGATGTTATTTTTATAATTTATAATGATTTAAAAATAGATGATGACGTCATCATTGAGATATGACACAATCTTACGTGAAACCATAAAAAATAACATCCTTAATAAAATTAACAAAATGATAAAAAAAATTAAAATTTAGATACTAATTTGAAAAGAATTTTTTTTAAAGTTCCAACTTTGAAGAATATACCAAATTCAAATGCAAAATATATATTTAAGCATTAATTTTTATTATGTTATAATATAGTAATATTAAATCTATTATTTATTTAAATTTAAATTTTTTCCCTTCACATTTGCATGTACCTAACGCGTTCCAAACGCGCAAGCAAAATTTTCTATTATGCCGAGGAAACTGTCGTCGTTTACAATATGCGCACGTGTGGATCATATACAATTGTTGAACGCGTAGGCGTAGGAAATTCGGAAACACGGCGTTTGGGCTTTGTGGGACGGAACGGGGAACATATATCAAATATCCAGCCGTTCGTAAATTATTCGGCGACAAGTTCATTTACGTTTATATGTTTATTAAACGAACGAAAATGAATAAGATTTTTTGTTCGTTTAATTAAATGAACGAACACGAACAGAGTGTTTGTTTGTTCATTTATATTCGTGAACATTCAATAATATGTTCATTTACGTTCGTTCGTTTATGTTCGTTTACTTTCATTTGTTTATATTCGTTCGTTTATGTTTAGCCTAATCTCTCTAGATTTATTTAAAATATTAAGGTCTAATAAATTTGAATATGATACCCATTAATATTTTAAAATTCAATTAATTTTATATGTTTGTTTTGTTCATTTATATTCGTTTTACGTTCGTTTATGTTCATTTATTATGTTTGTTTATGTTCGTTCGTTTGTGTTCGTTTATGTTCGTTCATTTGTGTTTGTTTATCATTTAAATGAGCGAACTATATTCCTTAACGAACAAACACTAACAACAAATTTTTTTGCTCGTTTATGTTCGTGTTCATTCATTTATTCGGTTAAAGTTAAACGAAAGAACATAAACATACCTCGTTCATATGCATTCGGTTGATTTACAGGCTTAGTGCTGTTAAACGCGTGATAATTAACAAAGGCGTTTTGTTTTGCCCCCTTTACTACGGGGCTTCTTATATCTTTTATTAAAATCATTGACCATTATAATATAAATATAATATAATCGGAATAACTATAATGATCACCAATCACTTTAATGAATAATCCAAC